AACTTTTATAAGCTATATTGCAGAATTTTATTAATATTACTGCCTTTATACCTTAGTTAAAAAATGATTCTAACATTATTCTAAATTGATTTATGTAAAAAAATTCATTTTAAAAAATTTGTCATTTTCCTACCTTACTGTACATGCATGATCACATGACGCCTTTTTATCAATAATCTAAATTTCATTATATTTGATCCATTATAAGTTAATAATACAACAATTATTTCCTTGAAATTAGTCCCGAGATTTAAGTCAGATAAAATAGAGAATCGGAAAATAATTCCGATACTAATAATGTTAAAAAATTACTTACATATGTTATTAAAGTTTTAAAAAAAACTTAACATTATAACAACAATTTTATTTAAATATTTAGATAAGTTTATTTTAAACGCTACTAAAAGAAATCAAGATTTCAGACCTGAATATTCAAAGCTGAATTGATTTATTATAAGTTCAAAAGCCTGAAGTATAGTTTTCTTTTAGTTTTCTTTTAATAGTATTCAAATACAAACGAAAGGCTATCGTTTTGTTTATTGATTTTGTACAATTTTATATAAGCCATATTTTGATTTAACAACATGGTTCAGTCTTTCCAAAGTCTTAGAGGATTTGATCTTCGTTGTGTTTGACTTTCTCCAGGTGTTTTGGCATTACCAGGTTTCGTCAGAGTTTTGGCGTTTCGCCAGAGTTTCGACATTTCACCAGTTTCGATTTTCTCCGGGTTTGGTTTCAACTTTCGCCATTTACCAAAAATAGTTCCGCCTAACAATAATCTACTGGTGTGATTTAGAAAAACCGTTTCAAATTGTATTTTTTATAAGTATATATAGTGTTTTAATACTAGAAAATCAGATAAAAGTCTGCAGCAGATCATCACCAACAAACATCGCATGAAGGTGTAATATTCCCGAGTAGCAGGAATATGGGGATCTTCTGAAGACATATATACTTATAGGCTTTATAAAGTTCAAAATCCCCACGTTCCTGCCAAATAGAGATTTTACCTAATTAATAATAAAGCTTCCTTGAGTTGCATAATCCGTTTAATTGGATTAATTCAGTTTAAATCGAGTAGACTCCAATCTAGAATATGACATATTTATGATTCTCAATGAACACACGTCTAAATTTTATATACCGATATCGATACTGTACCTAATTCTAATTCTACCTGCAGAAATTAGGATGAAATGTTACACATATGTACACACTGAGCGCGCCAGCGCGACCACGAAAAGTCCAGTCAGATGATCTGCGCGCCACAGCCGCGTAGTACGATCTTTTTATTAATTTGAGCTTAAACAACTTTCATCAAAGACACGAAAATTCTTTCTAAATAAATGCTCTATATCCTTATTATCATGATAAAAATAACAATGATCATAGAGCCTTTGAAAACTTAAACTGCATTTCTCTTTCGCATAGAACAACTCAACAAATTTACATAGCTCTAGGCCTTTGGCGGTATATTGGTAGTCATGCAATTTATATTCTTCTTTATCGTCATCAGAATCGTATAACCTTACATATAATAAAATTATGTAATCCATTTTCACAAATAATTCATACTCATAAATGTGCACAGAAAAAAATTCAATAAATTGTTTAATTTGATTAAATTCACTATTATGAGTGTTATAATCTTCTATACACTCAGGATTTTTGTCTATTACTATTAGTTTCAACATGTATCATGTACTTCTAATCAATCATTTATAGACAAGTGGGAGAACGTATTTTATATGATCTTTAAACTCACTGTTGTCATAATTATTTGCAATTAAATCATTGCAAATCTTTAAAACTGGGTTATCCATTTAATTGAATTTTATTGAGTTTGAAACATGTATATTATGGAATGGTCAAATATGTTTGAATGAAATTTCAAAATATGCAGTGTTGTATTGCTTAACATTTAGACTTATACAATTTTTTACAATTGTTAAATGGCTATACTAAAATTATCAATTTCGTAATTGTTATTTAAATTACCTTTATTCAAATAAAATTATCTTGATCAAAGTTAATTAATTATATTTAATAACTATTTGTTCATATAAAATGGTTAATTTATTAAATTATATAATTATCTATTTCTTCACTTCAAATAGATTAGATTGAGTTAACCATTATCATACTAAATAACCTATAATCGAAATAGCTAGTAAACCTAGTCAAATTCACTACACAAATAAAAATACCTTGCAACAATTATCAAATCAAGTTAGTAAACCTAGCCAAATTCACAGCATAAAAAAGATTTTACAAAAATAATTAATTGAATTTAAACAAAAGAAAAGCTGCATGTTCATTAAAATATTATACTTAGCATGAAGACAATGTCTAAAGTCTGAATAGAGAAACACATACATTTTGATTTATCAAATTGTAATCATTCTTGTCTCTAACATAATAATATTGTAATTAAATGTTTTTTTTATCAAACATAGCAGACAATTATCATGCTTTAATATCCTTTTATTAAGCATTGCAAATAATTACCTATCTAGTTCTTTACAATAGCATGTATATGTTGACTATTTTTTATAAATATCTATTATAATAAATGAAATACTAAATAAAATTTTTTAACTATTGGATTCTTCTATCAATCTTAGATTATATACCTAAAGTTTTACCCATATACTAAAACATACACTTACAAAATAGTTCGTTGTAGCAACTGTGAAGTTGACTGTTCTAATAAATAATTTATTTGGGGTAATACATGTTACAAGACATGTATCATATATAACGATAATCACAAAAAGAGGAAAGAGAAGTGCATGCAGAATAAGAAAGGGAGTCAAACACAGAATCAGAAAAATCTGATCACGAATGTTGATCAAGAAAAACAAGTTGATGACAGTGTATATGCTGAGATTGACTATCTCAAAATTGGAGATTTTGTTAAACATAAAATCTGAGAGTTAGCAGATGATGTAAAACTCAATAAAATAAAGAATATAATTTATCAGACTTATCAGACAAATTTGTTAGTACATATTGATAAAGTTATTCAAAACATAATACTAAAAAAAGTAGCAGATCTTATAATTATTGAGATTGAAAATAATAATGATTATTCATGAAAATAAGTGCTAATTTTATAATAAAATTTTTTTTTATTTTTTTTTAATATAAATATTTAAATTTTTTTTTATTTTTTTTATTATAATATTTAAATTTTTTTTATTCTAATATCTAATAAAAAATATTTTAGTTATAAAAAGGTGGACCTATCAAAAAAATTTAGTTCAGCTGATATATTTATATACCTATATTGTCAGTTGAATGAAGCACAGAGCGAATTGTATAAAGACTCGAACCATAAACGATGTAAGTATTACAATTGTAGAGGTCAGATCACAGTAAAGGTTGACATGACATTTGGTGTAGCAATAGTGAATATATATCATGGATTCCTTTATCTACACCCAGACCTTATTGATGAAATGTCTGATGAACTAAAAAAGAAGATAAATACACATATGCATCTTACCACAACTGAATTAATAAATTATCTATAATGCAAAAAATTTGATATTTTGAAATATTCGCATAAGCAAATATATTACTGGAAATCTATTGCAAATCAGAATAGATTTTAGCAATACAATGACTCTGTTGAGTTTGCACTTAGACTGCTCGATGAATATAGTAGTTTGGGCTTTCACTAATGCTTATATATCTGAAATTCAGAGTCAATTATCATTAGATTTACCATACCATTATTAAATAAGATTAAAGACCAAAGTATTTAAATATCTTGATGTCTATGAAAGCTATATGTTGTGTCTTATATGAGTGTTGTTAAGAAAAAATGTGGCTTCAGTTTATTAAATAATGTCACAGATAATTATGAAATTTTGGGTCTTTTTTAATAATATAAATCTATTAAAATCTACTTATACTTTTTTCTAAGCAACTCTAACCTTAAATTATAACATATCATTAAAAAAAAAAAAATTGGAACAATATACTCTAAAAAATTCCAAAATTTCATATTAAATTAGGTTCTCATCTGATTTTATGATCATTTATGACAAATAATAACCAAAGTCTCATTTTCTTTGGCAACATTCATAGAATATATATCTAAGAATCAAATATTAATTAATAATATTAATATTTTTGTAATTTATGTTAACTCTTTTTTTTCATATACAATATTGAAGATATTAATATGACAGAAATATATATAGATATAACTTACAGGACTGCAAGAGGACGGTATGAATTATATAGCATTGTAGTCGACATTGAGAGAGCAGGTTTCCCAATTGCCTATATAATGATTGATACAACAAAGATAGAAAATATAAATACTAGTACAGGAAGGCACCATGAAATCTTGGAACAATTTTTAATGACTATAAAAGATAGTATTAATCCAGACTTTGTGTTTATAGATAAAGATTTCAGAGAAATAAATGTGTTGACTAATGTGTAGAGACCATTAAACATTCAATTCTGTCTTTGGCATATGGAAAGAATATTGAACTGAAAATTAGTGGAGAAACACAAAAAATCAAAAAACTCAAACCTAATATCAATAACTTACAATATGGATCAAGTAGCAAAAGATTTGGTTTTATTGATCCCATGTTTTATCCAACAGAATATGATTGAGATCTACAAAATTATATCATTTGTCCAATAACCTATCATGAACAAATTATGAAATTGGTTAGGAAAGATTATAGCATGCATCCACTAATACTATATAAGTTAGAGTTAATTTAAAATACACATTACTGATTATATCGACATTTTTGAGACAAAATATTAAAATTTTTTTTTTAATAATATCTCAAAAATATCAAGTAACATGTATTTATTGATTAAATAAAAGAGTTTAATTTCATTGCTTTATTTTCTTTTTTCATCCAACTACCAATCTCAGGTAATAGTTGATACTCAAGAAGGTATGTTGTCATTAGCTAACATAAAAAGAATTTATGTAAATGAAATGTATTAATTTTGTATCGAAAATGGTTTGTGAGTTTTATGAACATATCTCTGGACCAATTGGTATTTACCTAGTCGATGACACCTTTGAGCATGCTTAGCTAGATCTATAATAACTCTTAGCAAAACAACAATAAAAATTGAAACACACTGGAATATAATTAAATAATGTTATTTACATTATTTTAGTAGTCCTAGATTAGATCTTATATTTTGGACTCTGCTTGATGAAGTAATACCAATACAAAATGATCATCTTTCTCAAGTTCTAAATAGTACAATAAGCTTATATTGGTGGAAGGCTTTCAAGAAAGAATGAAATTTTCTGGGTGCAAGTGATGAATGTCGAATAGAAATATGTATAGATAAAAATAATAAAGACAAAAAAAAACTAGCTAATCTATAGCCAACTGACTTACCTAGATCATATTTTATAAAAGTTTCTTGTTGGGTTTGCAATTGTTTTGTTTTTATTGTAAGTCATTTTTTAATATGTAAGCACTTGGTTCGGCAGATTATAAACATGCCCAATGGAACAAATAGTAGTTAATTAGAGAAGATTTTGAACATGAGACTATACCATCTTTTTTTATTATAAAGGATCTCGATTATGATAAATTTATAAACTTTATACTTATAACTACTAATATTTTCTCTTCTGAAACATTTGATAATATTAATATGAATCCAGAAGAAGAAGTTCGTATTTATGTTAAGAAGAAATGGTCTCTAATTGAGTAAGCAATAAAACAGATCTGTACTAAACGATTGGCTAATACCTGACATCATGTTTGTGCAATGATAGACTGGAGCAGATTAGCAAATATGAAAGAAGAAATAGAATCAGTTAAGAAAAAAAGACATATACTGACTACTTGGGCTTTAGTAAATAAAAAACCATATTTAATGTATTTACCTCTTTTGAATGAATCAGAAATAATAGAGTGATATAATTAGAGATGGGTTTCATGCGTGTGCATGATTGTAGAATCATGCGCATTTTATCCCATCAAGATTTCTCTCCTCTTGATCAGTTTTTCTTTTTTTTTGCATTTTTTTATCATGTGATATCATGCGCATGTTATTATAAAATGTGCATTTTTCCCATCACTAGATATAATTTATAATAATGATGAAATAAGTAAATTAGTAAATGAGTAAAGGGATTAAATATTTATATTTTTTTAAAAAAAAATTAATGTACCATGCGCAAATAAACATTTACATACTTTAAGATTCTTTATAAATTTTTATACCTTAATAAATTTTCTGCTCATACAGTTTTCGTCACTTATACCAATCTTATACCATCTATAAAATATTGATTAAATCATTTCTTCGCTTTTTAAATAATGAGTTCATAAGGACTTGCAAGAAATGAATACTTATTTAATATTTTTTTAGGAAGGAGTTGAAGAGTTGACCGTTACCCCAGTGAGACCATGAAAGATCGTCGTATATGCACCAATCGGATTTTTTTGAATGATCGTCGCCAATAAGATCACTAGATCAGGTGTAACGTGAAAATCACGCTTTTTTTAAAAAACAGGCGATAACTAAAAATTTTGACTATGAAACCACTTTCTGCGCTCTAATAAAAAAAATTCCTCATGGAATTTTAGTATAGAGGATGTATACAATAATCTCTATACCAACCTCAACATGAGGTTTAGTACTTTAAAATATTACGCATATTAAAGTTGTTTTGATACGACGATCTTTCATGGTCTCACTGGGGTAGCTGTTAGAGGGTCGCACAACTAATCTTCTATATCGAACCGATGTACTGCGGCTGTGGCGCGCAGATCATCTGACTGGACTTTTCGTGGTCGCCCTGGCGCGCTCTGTACACACTATATATAAATTAGTGCAACACTTCTCCGTCACAAAGTTGAATGCTACATATAAGTTTGCAAAGCTAAACTTCAAATATATTTTCAATTTTGTACATTGTTGTAAAACGAGCAAAATGAAAATATTTAACGTTAACATTACACTAAAATTATATTGTATTAAAAATTAAATTTGATTATCCAATCAAATTTTTCAAAAATTGCAAAATGATCTATAAAATTCTTTCCGCTAACGGTACTGACCTTTAAACGTTATTAACGTTAGTTGTCAACATTAATTTGGAAAAAGAAACAAATTGGTTTAAAAAATACAGGAATCGTCAATATTCAATTTATTAAATTTCCTAATTTGTACTATACTAACATTGTTTTGCTTCTTTCAAATACACTAATCTCTAATTCGTGCAATTTTTTAAGGTTTTTAAGAAAATTAGTTTTCTAACCTTCTTAAACAAATTTATCTAAAAGATTGGACGTATCACAGCATAATTATTATACATAAACTTTATATATAGTAACAATAATAATAATATGTAAAAAAAAACAAAAAAGCAAGTTTGAATACTGGCCATAGCTTTACCTTATCCTAAATTTTGTATAAAAAAAAAACTATCACAATGAGAATTTGGTTTTATTTACGAAATTCAATACGTAGATTGAATAGGACGAATAGAAAGTTATTTAGGGTTTTTTTGGTTTTAATCTTTATAATATTTCAATACTTAATTATAACATACAAGATTAAAAATATACCTGGAAATCATCAAACGAATCTTGTCGTTAATGTTGCCAAGTACGCTAATCCTCTTGTCGGAACCGCTAGAGGTAATGTTTAATTTAATAGTCCAATCACAGAGTTAATCAGAAATTAAATCAATGGATCATCATTTTCTCCTTGATATTAATAGATGGACATGTATTCCCAGGTCCTTGCCTTCCTTTTGGGATCGTCAAAGTAGGTTTCGATACTGATGATAAATCAGACTTTAATGGAGGGTAAGAATTATTTATTTAATTTATAATCGCTCAGCAGAAAGAGTTGGACGATTTATAAAATGAAAAAAGGTTCTAGAATCTTTATTTACTTTTATTTACTGGCGTCCCAACACTTTCTGCACACATAGGTTGAATGTATAAGTGTTGACAAATCTTCTGATATGTATCCAATATTATTCATTCAGCCTGTGAGGAGGAAAATGGAATAGTATTCATTCACGAGTGCTTTACCTGTCTCTAGTATAAAGTAAAAATCTTAAAAATAATATTATTGCTTATCGTTGATTGCAGATACACTACTCATGGATCTATTACGGGGATCTCTCGTAAGTATTTCTACATATTTCTATAGATTAAATCGCTTTTTTAAACTTACATGCAGGAAACTTTTTTAAATAGATTTACATGTTAGTGGAACAGGAGGTAAAAAAAAAAGAAAAGTTGAATAAACATCTTTAAACATTATGCGACACTTATTAATTTATAACAAATCAGGTGAACCAAAATATGGAGTAATAAGTCAATTACCAGTGATGGATTGGCCAGATGACAAACTCAGATTAGATGGATATTCATCTAAAAGGTCGTTTGAGCATTTTGAAGTTGGTTATTCAAAATTTGGATTAAAACGTTATAAAATCATGGTCGAATTAACTGCTAGTCACAGAACTGGTGTTCATCGATATACTTTTCCTCCATCTGAAAATGATGCAAAAGTTATTCTTGATTTGAGTCACATTTTATCTTTTGGTTGGAGGTATTTCGATATATGTATTACTGATGTTGTTTATGCTAACTTTATTATTTACATACATTACTTAAATACTTTATTTGCATAATAATTGCAGTGCTAGATATGAAAGTGCTGCAATCACTTCTATTTCTCACAACCAAATAAAAGGGGCGGGTCGATACAAAGGTGGCTGGAATAGCGATGGTCAATATAGTGTCTTCTTTTGTTCTCAATTCAACGTCAACGCCACTAATTACGCGACTTGGTGGAATAATCGAATTAATAAAAACACTTCATCTTATATCGGCGTATCTTTCGTTGATAAGATTGGCGCGATTCTAACTTTTGATACGATCAAAAACCCAGTAATCGTTTCCAGAGTTGGTATCTCATTCATTTCGGATGACCAAGCTTGTGAGAGTGCTGAAAGTGAGGTACCGGATTGGGATTTTGATAAGGCAAAAGAAGATGCCGTTAATGCTTGGAATAAAGAATTGGGAAGGATTAAAGTTAGTGGCGGAACTATAAATGTTACGGAATCGTTTTATAGTAGTTTATATAGGACAATGATTATCCCAAGTGATAGGTGTGTGGGCTTTTTTTATTAATCAATATTTTCATTGATAATGAATAAACTTTGTTTATTATTGTTGCATATCCAGAACTGGCGAGAATCCAGATTGGAAGTCAGTCGATAAAAAGGGTAATCCTATACCATATTACGAAGATTTTTACACTTTGGTATGCTTTAGTCTAAATATTATTTCTTTTGCAAGTCTCAAAATAATTTATGAGAGTATTTATTTTTTTTATATAATCAATAGTGGGACACATTCAGGTAATTTCAATCTTAAATTTATTACTCATATACAGTCAACGCTGCCCTCTCTATAATCACAGTTGGGATGATAGTAATTTTTTTAAACATGTGCTTATAAACAAATTGTTCTTATCTAGAGGTTTTTTATATTTATGGTACAAATTTAGGTGATTATATAGGTGTGATTATTATAGGATGTGATTATAGAGAAGTCTGACCGTAATTATAATAATAATTATTATTACAGAAACTTTTCCAAGTGCATCCTTTATTAATGGGTTTACGTAGTTTCCCCGACAACTATGATCGTTGGGCGACTGCTCTAAGCACACGATTTTTTTAAATGCGCTCTTAAATCTTGGCACAACTATGCACTTGGCTTCCATAAACACACTTTTTCTTATTTCTTATTGTCCCTTAAAAATTTGGTACCTATATGATGCATTTAGAGAAGTCTAACTATATTATTATCATGAATAACATTACATATTTCACTTCACTAATTTCACCAACAAATATGCAATAATATAGAACGACAAACCCATTATTTACACTGTTCCAACCAGAACGTGCCGTTGATATTACTAGATCACTAATCGATACTTATGTACATGATGGTTATATGCCTGATGGAAGAAGTGGTTCATGGAATGGAATTACGCAAGGTGGATCTAATGCTGATATGGTTGTGGTAATTACATAAATATATATTTATTTAAAAAAAATCAATACTTTATGTCGTTTACTCCATTATTTCTTTAATTCTAGGCAGAAACATACTTAAAGAATTTAGATGTCAGTGGTAAAATAGACTGGGAATTAGCGTACAAAGCTCTCATCAAAGATGCTGAAGTAGATCCATGGGAAAAAGGCTTGGCAGAAGGTCGATTATATTTAACAGATTATAAAAAATATGGCTATATTCCTTTCCCAGATGATGGTAAAACTGGATACGCTAACGCTCAGTGTAGTCGAACTTTGGAGTATAGTGCTAATGATTATAGTATTAGTCTTGTTTCTCAAGGTATTTTTAATTAATTAATTACTATGAATTTTTCTTTATTTATTAGATTCTTAGCGTATTGATGTGTTGACACATGCATATATGTTTTTTAATTTTAAAGGATTGGGTAAAATCAATGACTATATAAAATACAGGAAGCGTGCAACTAGTTGGGAGAATTTATGGTGTACAGAAAAAGTTTATGATGGTAATTATTTATGCAGTCCTTTCATTTTTACATCCGTTCTTCCATTTATTTTGTGTGTTGTGATAAATAGGTGTTAAAGGATTCATTATACCAAAATATATAAACGGATCATTTAATATGAATTGGGTTGTTGATAGAAATTTTGATGGAGGTTGGAATACATTTTATGAAGGTACTTCATGGGAGTATAGTTTGGATGTACCTTTTGGTATGTATTTTTAAGGATTCTTTTATTTACGACTGAACAATGTTAATTTTAATTTATTTATATTTTTTACTAACAAATAAGACGTGAAAAGATTGATCGAATTATCAGGAGGTCCGAAACGTTTTGAAAAAAGACTTGACAAAACATTCTCAGATCATACTTTTCTTGGGAATTACTTTAACATAGGGAATGAACCTGATTTTTTTCATATCTGTTTGTATCATTTTGTTGGAAAGCAGTATAAAAGTGTAGACATTATTAGAAAAATTATGGAGACTAAGTTCGGAAATAGAAATGACGGAATTCCAGGTTTGTAAAGATAATAATACGATAATTAGATGAATGCCATTTATTATATTTTTACGCTATTTCTTACAATACCAAAGGTTTTATTCAAAGCCGTAATTCTTAAATTTATTGGTATTTGGGTATTTTAAACAAAATCGAATACTATATTTGGATACAATTTGTATGAAAAGTATAGTCATACCTAGAGTCGATACAAAATTAATTTACAAACTCCGCAATGTCATAATTTAGTAATTTTGTCGTCAACTATTATACCACCAAGTATTATTCTTCAAGAATTAGATTACATACAACGTTAAATGGAATTTAATTACTATTGCATGATTCTCAATCAAATATGATAAATGGCATTTTGGACAACTTTGTTTAAGTTCATTTAAAGACAATTTATCTCAATTTGAACACAATTTCTATTTTATAGGAAATGATGACTCCGGAGCTATGGGAAGTTGGTACGCTTTCAACGCTCTTGGATTATTTCCAATGTAAGAAATTTTATTTCATTAAAAATATTTAATTATATGAATGATAATATTAAACAATTTAAGCTTCTGCTATACAATAACAGAGCTGGAACAGATATCTATTTAATAAACTCGCCACATTTCGAAGAAATCACTATATATCTCTCCATTTCACCACCAATAACATTCAAGATTATAGCTCACAACCTTACATACATCCCAGATCTCCCTGATATTGTTGAGCCAGACTCTGAATTAAACTCCGTTCCTGTAAATCATGTTATTATTAACTCCGACACCTCAAATTCTGCTTCAACTGCAACCAATAATTCAAGAAATTCCGATCCGATTTACGTTAACCCGTATGTTCAGAATGTTAAATTAAACGACAAAATATGGGAAAAAACTTGGTTTAGACATAGCGACATTTCAAAAGGTGCAATAATGGAATTACAGATGGGACCAAAACCAAGCAAAGTTTGGGGTGTTGTTGATGATGAAATTGAAAAGCAAAAAGATATTGAAGACAGAGTTGTGCCACCTAGCATGAGTGACTATAAAATTGATATAGTGGAAAGTAAAGAGAAGAAAAATAGATTGGCAGATTCGAATGAGTGGATTTCAAGAATGGACATTTTTATTTAGTAAATAACAAATTTTATCTTTTTTGAATTGTAAGACAAATACATTTTTCTATTTGCATGTTGTAAATGTTTAAAATTAATCATTTTTCAATTTTTTTTTTTTTTTTTTTACCAATAATGACCATTTTTTTATTTTGATCACTTTAGATGTGATTAGATATAATTATTATATTAACAAAAAAAACAAGCAGGCATTTAAAAATAATGTTTTATTATATAGATTTATTTTTTAAAAAATTTTGATTGTGAATCTAAACTTTTTGGTTTGAATTTTAGAAGGTAAAATACCTTAAATTATTTGCAATTAATATTATTTCTTAAACTGTATTTTAGGCAAATTTGCCTAGAAAATTAAATTGTATTTAGTATTTTTTAAATAAAATAATATTTTATTAATGATATGGGTTATATTTTGTTTATAAAATATATTCCTAAAAACATATTTTATTAACTTTATTATAAAAATTTTAGCCTTGGCCACTCTTGTAGGTTTAGGTCACAGATTAGATGTCTAAGTTTTTATTCTAAAATATTAATAAATTTTTATGTATTAAAATTTTAAAGATTTTATTTAAAAATTTTTACTATTAAAATTTTTTTAAGATTTTATATGTTTTTGAAGTTAAATAAATTTTACACTTTGTAAAAATCTAAATTTTTATAGGTAAATTGCAAAAATATTACTAATAAAAATTGTTATTCTTTATATAAACTAAAATATTGTATTAAGAACTATAGGTTTAAAATTAATATTTAAAAAGTTTATCAAAAATTTGTAAATAATTTTTTTAATTAAAATTTTTTTCTAAATTTATCTATTTTTAGTTTATAAATAACAAATATTTTTTTCTTATAATAAAAATTAAATACTGTTAAGGTAGTATCATTTATTACCTGATTTTTTAAGAAGGGAGAGAGATAAAAAAATTAAAATTTAATATAAAGAACCTGATCAGGTATATATTAAAAAAAAGTGAGAGAAGGTACCTCCCTGATAAAAAAAATCAGGTAATAAATGACATCACCCTTATAATAAAATCCTTATTTTCAAATATTATCAAATAAAATTTTATTTAAATATTTTAAAAATTAAAAAAAATAAATTATAAGTATATTTTTAATAATTTTTTAGACAAATTTGTTTAGAAAACTTTACAGATTAAGAGATAAAACTATATACTTAAGATATTAAATTAGAAAATATAAATTTTTTTTTTTACTTTTATTAAAGTTGTTAGTTATTAGTAGCTACTATTTTTATTGTAATTTTAATTATGATTATATAACTTATATAAAATAAGTATATAACTAGTCATATATACAGTTTTTGCTATCTATTTAAGTAGTTTACCTGGAGGTTCTACATTAGCATACAAGTTTTCATATACCTAAGTGCTATCTAACTAATTCTAACTTCTTTATCTATATGTATATTAAGCATTATACATTTCAGAGTATCTTATCTGACTGTAAGACTCTAGGAGGCTCCTCTGCTAACTAACTACCTATTTTTAGTTTTTATTAATAGGATTCATCTTTGCAAAGTTCACCTAAACCTTAGTATCACTTTATAATATATCTCTAATATTTATAATATACTTTTATTTTTGACCTAATTCAAATAGCCTAAAAGAATTGTAACCTGTCTTTGGTATCCCAAAGTTTTACCTTTCAAGATTTTTTTTCTTTGATTTGAGACTTTCAATAACCTAATTGGTAGTATCTCTTACTTGAGATTCTTGTTTGTCAAATTCTTTTACATTGATATCTGCTTTCTAGGTCTAGTCTTTATAGTAGTATCATCAAAAATTTGTGCTACCTCTCTACTCAGGTTTTTTCTAAATGAATTTCTTGTTTTCTAATTTTAATAAATATATACAGTTACAAGGACTTATCTAATGTTTGTACTACTTAATGCTGGTTTATATTCTTTTTATAATTTGTTATACAGATGTCTCATAACTTGTCAATTATGTTAATATAACTATTATTATAAGTATTTTAATTAATTATTAGAAATAATTACTGTAATACAAATATTACATAAGTAATTATTTAAATTTTTATTATTAATGAGATTTGAACACTTAATTTATCATTTGAGGAGTTAACAACTTATCTACTTTACCAAGTCACTATATTCTTATTAGAAAATATAAATTAATAATGCAATAATATAGTATTAATAGTTGAGATTTTAATTATTAATCAATTCTTAGTTGATATTATAAATTGACTTAATTGACTTAGTAATAAAATATTGAAATAATAAAACTTTGTATTTAAAGTAGACCCAAAATTTAAATCTATATACATAATATGTAATAGTTATTTAACATTTATATTAGAATTAAAAATTTTTGTCATAGTATTTTTTGGCACAAGATTATATAAATATTTGTATAAAATATCTTAAGCTTCATATAGTTATATAAAATATTAATATTGAATAGTAGTTAAAAAATTTTATTATTTTTATATATCTAATAACAGTATTATCTGAAGTTTATATATAACAACTTGAAGTTTTTTTATGATATTTTATAAAATTAATGTTTTTTACAAATATATAAATTATTCTTAAAAGAGAATAATAATAGTAAGTTAATAGTAAAGCTTATTATAAAAATATGATAATCAGATATAATAAACAGAATAGATTATAGTATTTTTTACAGTTATATAAATTGAATTTAAAATAATAAACAAATATATAAAAGATATTTTATATAATATTTTTAATTTTAATATTTTTTTTTTGTTATACCAAAGTAGAAACTTTATTAGATAATAAAAGTAATTATATTAAAGATTTCAAAACTATATTTGTACTACTTATTTAAAACACCTAATGTAACATTACACCTCTATTTCTATATAACACTATTATTAATTATTTCAAATTAATTTTAAATATAGAAAGATTGGAAGAAATCTAAGATAATAGTCTTGGTATTTAGTAAATATAATTAGTAAGTGTGTAGCCTGGAATTAACTAGTTTTTAATAAAAATAGTTGAGTTTATAATAGGTGTATTGGTAGTATTAGAATTAGATTGAGAAGATAAAGTTAAAAAATATATTTTTGAATATTTAAATTTTTTAGTTATATTACAAGCTTTTTCCTATTGTTGTTGAAAAATATTATATAATAGATATATATGTTGATGAAATCAATTTAGAGAAGCATTAAATAGAGCTATTAAGAAGAATATTGTTGTTTTATAAAATAATATTTTAATATTATCATATTGAAATATAGAGAAGAGGCCTTAAATAAGATTAAGAAAATAAGAGTATAGTAAAGTGTTTGTTTGTTATGACAAAATAATTTAGATTTTATTTAAAGTGTTAGAAGAGATATTTAATTGTTGAGTAGTATTTGAAATTAAAATTTTGAAGAATTTGTTGAAGATTATATTTTTGTTTAAGACATAAAAAGATATAATATATCTTCAAAAGTTTAACAATAAATACAATTTAAAGTAGTATATAAGAAGAGATATTGTAAATTAAGGTTTTGCATAGTAGGTAGATTATTATTAATAATTTTAAAATAAAATGTATAGAATTTTTGATTATTATTTAAAGAATTAATAATGTCAACATTTGTTACCTATTTAATAAAGAATAAGTTTTAAAAGGATTTAACTTATGACCAAAAAAAAGTAACTGTATAGTAATTGTGTTTTGTAAAAATAGTCAGGTTTTAGTAAGTATTATATAATTATGTTATTTAAAATAATCAGAAAGTAATGTTGTAAAGTTTGATTTAATTAGGTGTTTAGAGATATCTTGTTTGGCTAAGAGATCTGCTTAATTATTAAAAAATTTATTAAAAGAAGATTTAATTTTGTAAAAGGAATATTAAAAGATTTTGTTTTAATAAAGTGGCAAATAATAAATAAAATATTCTAATTTTTAATATGTAAGAATTTGTGTAAGAAAGAAAATAATTGAATGTTTTTTAGAGCTAATAGATTGTTGAGATGTATATTGCTTTATAAGTTTATTAATAGAATAAGTAGAAGGTAAACAATTGCTTCAAGTTCTGCTTAAGTAGAATCAGGATATAAGGAAATTGTACAGTTGAATTTGATTTAAGTATTATGTTCAAAAATTCATCCAATACTAATTTTTAGATATAATGTTTGTATATTAATAATTAAAGCATTTGTATAGAAATGAGTATTATTTAAAAAATTTTTAGTTAATAGAAATAGATTAGTAAGTTGGTTTTGATAATAAGAGAAAGTTATATTTTTTTGAATTATTTAAATTTCTGTATCAGAAATATAAATAGTTGGTAGTTAGAGTAGTATAGAGGTTGAAATTGCTTGTTATTGAATATTAATAAGAGCATGAATTTTATAATTATCAATGTAAAGTAAATAGTTGTTATTCTTTTTTAATAATTTAATATAAGAAATATTGATAAAAATTTAGGATATTGGTGTAAATAGGTCAGTAGAAATTAGAGATATTAACCCAGAAAAGATGTTATAAAAGGAAAAAAGTTAAGTAAATTTTTAGTAAAGAGAATTTGTAAGTTATTAAGAACAAAAGACTATTTATTTAATGGTAATAGATAATAAGAAATAATTATATTAAAGAAATTAGTAAAAGTATTAATATTTGATAAGTTAAAATGTAATAATGTTTGAAAAATTGTATTGTTTTGAATAAGGTTGAAAAGTTTAATAAACCAAGATAAGGTAAATTTATAAGTAGATTTTTTGATATATATATATATATTGTTCTATAATAAGAAATATAAATTATCTGCTATTGTAAACTGTTCAATAAAGAGTATTTTATTGTTTTAAAGACTATTAATTAAAGAATAGGAATTATTAGATGAAAGAATATTATATATTGTTTTTGTAGATATAGGAATATTGACTAGTAGTAAGTTTAGTGAATTATTAAGTAAGAAAAAAATATTAAAATTATTTAAAAATAAAAGTTGAAAAATAAATATAAAGTTTTTTGTTTTTAATGA